ATCGGCAGTTTCGCAACCACGGTTCTCCTCTCGGCTCCCCGTGTATAAGACGCCCCTCCATTTTTAGGTAAATATTTTTATGAAAAAGTATAGCCTTATACATGGAAAAATACAGTACTTTTTCAAATGACGAGGTCAAGGAGATCTACCAACGAAAAAACACCTGCGTTCAGGGGCGGGAGGGGGCGTGGCGGTGCATTGAAGTCAATGGCACCGCAGCCAGGCCCCTCACCCACAGTGCGATCGCCTGCACGCGGAACCCAGGCACATTAGTGCCTGCGTTCCAGTCCAGTGCGATCTGCAAAAATGTTTGCAGATCACACTGGATTGGAATGCAGGCACTAAAGGCACTGGGCAATCAAACTGTGGGTGGGGGACATGGCTGCGTTGCAACCCCCGCCCCTGAACGCATTCCTGTGTGTTCTAGAGGCGCAGCGTCCTATCCTCCCGCAGTGCTCGTGTGGTTGAGTGGGGAGAGGTGTCCCGCCCATTTCCATCTGCGACGTCTGACACATCCAGTCGGCAGCCGCACGAGCACGGCGGGAGCATAGCAGTAGCCAGCTCCTTTTGCACACGTTTCAAGAAAGAAAGTGCCCCCCCCAAAAAAGGTTTTGACCCCAACAGGCCCCTGGGGGCAGCGCCCTGCCTCCAGGATTTTTTGTTCTATTTTTTTTTTATTTTAATATTTTTTTTTTTACTGTTGGGGGGCTTTGGGGAAATATTAGGGGTCTTTTAAAATAGAAAAAGACATTGAGGACACAAAGTCCTCAATCTCTTTTTCTGCATCCTCTGAAGAAACAGTAAAAGGAAGGATAAAATGTCCAAAGAACACCTTCAGTATCAGACATTTGGCTGTCAACAGCTGGTTCTGAAAAGGGCTGATGCATTTCTGGGGCCCACCCCCTTATATCAGAACCTATGTGATGCCCCTTTTGAGCTGATAATATCTTTGCCCTATTCCCAACAGCATTCAATCCCTGAGTGCTTATAATCTTGGTACACAGATTGGAGCATTCCATGACTCCTCATTATTGTTGTAAATGTTGCCATCTCTGTACCACAGCAACACATAAACAAAGCTGGCTTCAGATATGCTGGTATGGAGGCCAGAGCATTTACAACAATATTGAAGAGGGATACAGTGCGCCTGAAAATGGTTATCCATTTATCCTGGCAATGTATAAAGTGCCCAGAGAAGCACCAAGCCTTGCCCTCACATGGAACCGGGGCAGCCACCACTAATGTCAGGTTACTGCGGCAAACCAGGCGATGTTGGCCAGCTTTGTTTTTGGGTTGCCTTTGTATGAAGACTGGAGATTTACAACAGTAATGCGGATTGATAAAGTGCTCCAATTTCTATATGGAAATTGGGAGCAGTCAATCATTGGGTGGGGTATAGGGTCCAGATATAATCTGGTAGGCTCTGATGGAAGGGGGTGTTAACAGCCACTTGTTAGAAATAGAAAGTAAAAAAAAAAAAAACCACCAGTATCAGTTAGTCTGCAGATCTCTTTTTATATTCCGATTGATCTTTTTTTTATTTGTATTATTGTGATTTTATTTGCAATACAAGTACGTGTTTCATGAGGCTAGTGTTTCTCTCTCCTACGCATTACATCAGATGGATCCATCATGTGATTGTGCCTGAAGTATTGTGGTATTAATATTGTTGTGAAGAATTTGGAGTGCGTCTGGGGGAGTTTGTGCTCTTTTTAGATGACCTAGCTCACCATCAGCGCTCCAATTTATCCAAAATGTGTTATTATTATTATTATTATTATTATTATACAGGATTTATATAGCGCCAACAATTTGCTCAGCGCTTTACAAAATAGTGGAGACAGCACAGTTACAATACAATTTACAGTACAATACAGTTTCAGAACAATAGGTTTGGGAGTGCCCTGCTTGTGAGAGCTTACAATCTAGTAGGAGGGGCAAGTGATACAAAAGGTAATAATTGTTTGGATTGAGTTATTGGAGGAAGTAAAAGCCAGTTATGTTGAGATGAGATAGACTTCTCTGAAGAGATGGGTTTTTAGGGATCACCTGAAGGTGGGCAGCGTAGGAGATAGGCGGACAGATTGGGGTAAGGAGTTCCAGATGATCGGGAACACTCTGGAGAAGTCCCGGAGGCGAGCATGGGAGGAGGTAATGAGAGAGCTAGAGAGCAGGAGGTCTTGAGAGGACGGTTTGGGTGATATTTTGAAATGAGATCAGTGATGTAGGTTGTGGCGGAGTTGTAGATGGCTTTGTATGTTGCTGTTAGTATTTTGAATTTTATTCGTTGTGCAAGTGGGAGCCAGTGGAGGGATTGGCAGAGAGGGGCGGCAGACACTGAACGGTTGGTAAGATGGATGGGTCTGGCAGCAGCATTCATGATAGACTGAAGGGGGGATAGCCTGCTTAGTGGTAGGCCAACAAGGAGGGAGTTACAGTAGTCGAGATGAGAGATTACAAGGGAGTAAATTAGAAGCTTTGTGGTTTTGTTTGTTAAAAAGGGGCGTATTTTGGAAATGTTACGGAGGTTGAGTCGGCAAGATTTGGATAGTGATTGGATGTGAGGCTGAAAGGAGAGCTCAGAGTCAAGGATTACACCGAGTACCCTGGCTTGATAGGAAGGGTTGATCGTAGTGTTTTTGATTGGGATGGGGAAGTTGGGGGAGGGAACACGGAGAGGAGGAAAAATTATAAGCTCAGTTTTTGACAGATTGAGTTTGAGGTAGTGGTGGGACATCCATGCTGAGATGTCACTGAGTAGATTTGAGATACGTGAAGAGACAGAGGGGGTGAGTTGAGGAGTCGAGAGATAGATTTGGGTGTCATCAGCATTAAGATGGTATTGGAAGCCATGGGAGGCTATCAATTGACCCAGGGAAGAAGTGTAGATAGAGAATAGAAGGGGCCCAAGGACAGACCCTTGGGGGACCCCCACGGAAAGAGGAGAGGAGGTGGTAGAATTGTAGGTGACCCTGAAGGTGTGCTGAGATAGGTAGGAGATGAACCATGAGAAAGCAGAGTCTTGGAGGCCAAGGGAATGACGTTTTATTAAGGTGAAACGTGTGGTCAACTGTGTCAAAGGCAGCAGAAAGGTTTAAAAGTATGAGAACAGAGTAGTGGCCATTTGTTTTAGCAGTTAGTAGATCGTTAGTAAGTTTTAGAAGGGCAGTTTCTGTGTTGCGGACGAAAACAAGATTGGAACGGGTCTAGGAGATTGTTAACTGTAAGGTGGCTGCTCAGGCTGTTGTAGACCAGCCGTTCAAGAAGTTTGGAGGTAAAAGGGAGCAGGGAGATAGGTCTCAAGTTGTTTAGACTGGTGGGCCCCAAAGATGTGTTTTTTTAATATGGGGGTTACCAGAGCTTGTTTTAGAGGGGTAGGGACAACACCATTAGAAAGGGAGAGATTGAATATGTGAGTAAGGGAGTGTAGGATACAGCTGGAGTAGTTGTGAGGGGATGGGGTCCAGGGGGCAGGTGGTTAGGCGAGTGTTAGACAAAAGAGTAGCGACTTCGTCGGTGGTAACTGGATCAAAAGAAGAGAGTAGTGGTGGGGGAGGTCTGGGAAGTGGAGATTTCATTGCGAATTGCATCAATCTTGTCTCTGAAGTGAGTGGCAATTGTCTGAACTCCATAATAACTTTTTGGTCATATAGTTTATATGTGATGGTCAGGTGTCCCCAAATGTATGGGCATTTACAAGTAGAAGCAATGCAGCATGCCACAATAACTACCTCCAAGGTATTGATGAAAACATGTTATAGTGAAGTATGCGGGCTGCCATTGCTGGCCTACTTCTGAAAATGATTATTATTTGGCTGTCAATGCTTTCTAATTAATTGATTTGGACCAAGTATAGAAAAAAGGAAATGCATCTTTTCTTTTCTTGTATTTTTTTCTTGTATTTTCAGAAAGCAAGCAATGGTGGCCCTCTTTTTTTTTTTTTCATAATATGTGCACATTGATAGTGAGATTGCCAGGCATGCGTGAATGTGCATGGTGTATCAATGAATTGGGAGCTTTTACACAATGTGATTATTAAAGAGGAATTTCACCTGGCCTTTCCAAAACTAAAAGTCTGCAGCTTCAAGTACTCTAGCTGCTTACATTTAAAAACCACGTACTTGCCAGCCCATGAAGTCCAGCTCTGTCTTCCTTGCACTTGGTTCTTCACAGGGTTTCTGCTCTTCTGCAGTGCTATCTTGCATTCAGAAGCTGGCTGTCACTTCCTGATTACTCACAGCCAGAGAGGAGACTCTGCCCGGAGGTGTCCTGGAAAGTGTGACCTGATAGCCTAGAGGCTGTGGGAGCAGAGGGCTATGTCATCCTCACATCGGCAAGCAAAGAGGAAATGGGAGCAATTAACAAGAGAAAAGGTCTAATAAAAAAAAATATGATTTGTTTATAAGGACAATACAAGGATGGAGAATGAATGAAATGGGAGGAAAAATAGTTTGTGTCTGCTTTAAGGTTCAGTCTCAACACTTTTCCCTCTCCCCTCTTCCTGTTCACCTGTTCTGTGTTTAAATTAGAGATTAGAATGCTGGCAAAGTGCTGCGTCACTACTGACAGGGAGCAGAGCCAAAAAAGGAAAAAAAATGAAGCTGAGATGTAAATTACTCTATAGTGGCTGTAGCTACATAGATTAGTGAGGTCTTATTTATTTATTTACTTTATCTGATTATGTCAATATTAAAGTGTCCATGTTAGAATGTCCATAGTACACAGTTCTACTTTTCAAGCCCAGCTTAATCCAAAACATTTATATTAGTTTTGCATAGAGTGGAGAAGGGTTAGGACCTCTGTCAGGTTTTTTTGCTGGAGTTGGTAACCCCATGGTGGAGATTTTCCCCTGACCTTTAGAAATTAGTGGCATGGGTGCCACTTGGACTGGAGTACACCAACTTTTAATAATATCCTGAAAGATATGTACAGTTTCCTAATATCTGTCCAACTTTGACTAGAGATGCATCCAGCAGTACATTTTGTTTTTATTTTTATAGGTTGAATTTGAAAGAAAGTTAGAATCTGCAACAAAGTCTAAACTGCACTATAAGCAGCAATGGGGAAGAGCCTTGAAGGAACTAGCAAGGATCAAACAGGTAAGTGTTGGTTTAATTGAAGCCTGAGTAACTACTTCAATATTTTGTAAGTTGTACCTATATCTGAGTTTACCAAGTCATGCTTCTATCTCTCTGCACTGATTAGAGCATACAAACATTCCTTATCATTTAGGCTTTTTTATCGCATAAATATTTTATTACGTTTTTCAATAACATAGGAAACAGGAAAACACACTACAACAATCCCAACTATGACAAATACTGGTAGACACATGCAAATAAAAAAAGTAGAGAAACATGCAACCATCATTTAGGCTTTATGTACTGGTCACTATAATTACAATTCAGTAAAGGGTGAAGAGTTTGGAGAAGACAGGAGAACTGAACAATCTAGGACTACATAGCTGAACTGGAAAGACATTGGAGACATTTTCCAAATCGGCTATTTTGTCCTACATTTTTCACATCTCCTGCCTTCTCCAAACTCTTCACCCTTTACTGAATAGACCTGTTAGTCTCTTTAAAAAGATAACACAACAGTAGTTTCCTATTAGCCTTCCGCTCTCTATTTGAAAGTCTGCAAGGTGATGTACAGAGTAAAGCAAAACAAGGAGAGGGATACTTTTATCTGTGGGTATAATTAGAGCTTGTGCTATTAAGATCTATAAACAGGCTTTTTTTTTTTAACCCCCTCTATACTGCCATATTGTAAAAATTAAATCGGGAAAATGGACATGTATTTCTGGAGCGCCGTTTTAAAATGGCTGTGATCTGAGGTGTCATTGAACAGTTTAGATCACAGGCACGATGAACAGAGTATATTGAAGTATTCCTTGTAATCGCTGATCACGGCCTTTTATAAGTGAAAACTCTTCAGTGTTACAAACATTCATCCAATTCTTAACCCCTTAGAGTCAGAAAATTTTTGGCGCAATTTTGCCATTTTTGCTATGTGTTTCTTTACCACTTGAAGACCAGGGTGTTAAACCCCCTTTCTGGCCAGGCCATTTTTCTTCTGAGTTTCAACCTTGGCCACTTGATTGGGGTCCAATGAGGTAAAGCCCACTCATGTGCATCGTAGTTACTTCATCTTTGAATGCCAGATGTGTGCACTGAGCTGTAAATGTGCTGGCAACTAGAAGCTTTTATGGCACAAGAGACTTACACCATCTCTGTCAGAGAAAGCCTGCTGGTCGGAAATTATTATTATTAAGAAAAATATTTAGTCAACTTCCACTTTAAAGCCCCCCCCTCCGGACAGTGTAATGTGTGTACTCAGGGCTGGTGTTTACTGATCATGTTACAGAGGGTGACAGCAGGGGGGCAGCTGTTTTCAGTCTGGTACCCCAGTGTCGGACTGAGTTTCCTGTGCTTGAAATGTTTAATTTTTAGGCTTCAGGCCGAATAAAAAGTTCATAAAAAAATGAAGAAAGCCTGCAATGCGAGTCATAAAAATGTGCACACGTATACATCATCGCTGCACCTCTTCATTACTACATTCAACGTTAATCGCTTAGAAAGGTGGAAATAGACTTTGTGGTACTGGGACTCAAGTAGTTAAGAGAAATGCATCACGTTTTTAGGTTAAAAAACACAACTGAAAGGTAATGGCATATCTTTGTTCGCAATCCTGGTCGTCTGGCATTTCCACTCTCACTTATGTCTGCCAGTAAGAAAATACTTTATTAAAACACAATGTAAGTAATTACCACTCTTGGACAGCTGTTTTTAACTAGTCATTTGTTTTCCCTAAGTACTGTCCACATTCTCGCACATAGAGCAAATTAGATGTAAAAATGTATGTCTTATTGTTACTAAATGTTGTTGAAGAAACTCAACTGGTAGGAGCTTTACAGACTTGCCTCACTGGTGTGAGTGCCCACTGCCAACAGGGAATGAGTAATGATTTCCATTACCAAGCTGTGCCTCTGCTAAGTCTGTTTTGTGAATTATTGTAAGAGTTAGACTAAAGAGTAAACATTTGGAAAAGCTGCTTGCTTTGTGATTTGAAAGATCCCATTCTGCATTCGTTCATTATAAAAATAATAAATCTTGAGTTATAACTGCCACTTGAAAAGTTGGTATAACGTTCAACAAAGCCAGACTACAGATTTTTTTCCTTTCAGCTGGAGCTTGTGTTATGTATAGGTTTAACTTTAATCTCGGCCGAAAGTGTAAAAGCTGTTAATTAAACGTGGGGGGTGTGAAATGTAGCCAGCTCTGGAATACATTTTGATTTGATTAGTTGATGTCTGTATCTTTTTTTTTAGTAATGCGTCTCACCATCTTCAGTGGAAGTTTATTTTATGGTATTACCCATATTTTTTCTTTTCTTTCAAATGCCAATTGTCTACTTAACTGTTGGTGGTCTGGTGCAGATGATGGTGCTTTTGCAGTTAATGGAAGAGCTCTTCTCAAACAATGTCCCTTCATCCAATATAGATAAAGCAGTTTTAATGTGTATTTCTACTTTTGCAGTCAATTTTGAGTAACCCCTCTATTTGTTCTAATTCATACAGCGTACCTAAAAATAATAATAATACATTCTTACATTATAGTTGTTTCTTTGGAGCATGCCTGTGGGCAGGCTTAAAGCTTTTCTGAACAATTTTAAAGTGAAGTAGAGGGGCCCAGACCCCATTTCCTTTTATTAACATACAGTAAAATGCATAAAACAAGCTCCAATATCTTTACCCTCTATTAGGACAGAGAGTGTCCAAATCTAGTATACAACGGATAATGAGATCTGCCAGCACAGCTCAGACAGGGTTACTTAGGTTAAACATTGACTCCTCAGCCCCTTCCTTAACATTAACACAGCAGTTTTTGAGTTTTCGGGAAGGGGGGGAGTAAAAGGCAAGCCGCAATTTTTAAATATTGTTTTGTATGCTATGTGAATGGGGATATACAACAAATAAAAAAGTAGGTGTTATCCGCATTTGACTGCAAAAGGGAAAATACACTTTAAGCCCAACAGTTTAATCAAACTCTACTGTTTCAGTTCTCTTAAGGAGTAAAGGGAAAATTCAGTAACCTAAATATAGCATTTATCATAGTGTTCACTGCAATAGAAATGCCTCTAGCAGAAAGGCAGTCTAGGAAATCAGATTTGTAAGTGAGATGTGCCATGTTTAATAAGATAGTTGTGCCAGTAAACTTCTGCAATTAAGGCAGAAAAAATGTGGAACTAGTTGTACTGCCTGCCCACTATCATGCTGGAAGAATGCAAATATCAGTCAGGAGATCAGTTTTTATCTTATCATATTATAATTGTGTGCTAAAGTGAATGATTTGTATATCAATTGTAATTCTGTGTTAATTGTTGGCACTATATAAATGCCTGTAGTAATAATAATTATTATTACATTTTTGCCACCTGAAATACTTTTAAGTACCACCATAGAAACCAGGTGGCTTTTAATATGGCTTTTTTGTAAATATAAAGCATACAAATTTAGGGTGCATACAGAAGTAAAGCCTAGAACTCTTTGCTTTGCCTACATCCCCAAATGTATTCTTTAACTGTTCATACACCAAATAATCTCCGTTCTATAACCAGAGAAAATACATATGTTGTAAGAGCCATCTCTGTTTTATTTAATATGACTCTGTAGAGATCAGTAGTGATGTGCAAAATGTAGCAACCAGTCATGAATGATCTTTACCTGGTTGCTATAGTAAACTGAAATGTAATTTGTTGCTTCACTTTGCGCATCATTATTGCTCTGGTCACTGTTGTTAAATAAGGCTGTTTATGTGTTATGAGGATGAGATTCACCTCCTGTGAATTGTATCTCCATTCCATCACGTTTTATAAGGACTGAGTATTACAATGTATTGCTAATTACTGTCATATAAACAAATCACTGATTTATAAAAATGTGCAGAGTGATTTGATACCTTGTGTATAGTATATTGCCGGTACTACAACACCTTCTTCTCCATAAGTGAAGGATATCTGTAGATGATAATATTGAACAAATCACAGTCTATGGAAAGTTTGGCTAAGAGTAACTAAAGTTTTATGAAATTTTGTTGATAGTGTGCAGAGCAAGACAACTACATAGTTTAGGATATAGAACAGGGGAGCATAAATGTTCATTATCTTGTGCTGTCTGGACTGTGCCTATCTCTCTTCCTTATTTTTGTAAGGGCAAGTAGAAGACGCAAGTCCAGGTCATTTGTTGTGTAATCAGACAACAAGCTCTTTTGCTGCGTTTGCTCAGCACAGATTTTTCTGTCTGACATCTGGACTTTGCTGCTCCTGTCCCGTGCTTATCCACTCACAATAATTAATTTGATTCATTATTAAGTCATTTAGCCAAACATGGGAAGCAAGGCTTTGTTTAGAAATATATTAGTCGGGGATGTTGGGCTAGGTTGAAAACTGTGTCTTGAAACCATCCAGGCCCTCCTACTGGCTTGTCAGATCTGGGTTATTTTCAGAAAACTTGACTTGAGTTTCTTTAGAGAACATAGAATTATTTTCCCACAGACCTGACTTGGTATGTATGAGTGGGAGAGTGAGCAGTGGCCACTATTTAGTGATTGTTTAGTCTACTGTATGTGTGTTTACCCCTCTTCTCAGGATTTATAGGCAGCCATAGCAAAATAAAGATTGTGCTTGCTTGATTGAGGAGCCGCTTGTCCTTTACACTCACTCGGCTGGCATGTCTGAATTGTGGATTTAACTTCTTTCTTGCTGGTAGGAAAGGAAAACTGCTTTACAGGCAGATCTTTGCTGACACCTGCAGCAAAGAATGCTTATGTGGACTTAAAATTGAACTCTGGTTTTATTGAAAGACAAAAAAAGCTATCTCTTCCAGGTTAATTATATATACTGTACATTGCAATGATTTTAACAGATTTTCTTGTAGATCCTTACCTTCGTTCATTCTGTAGATCCTAAGATAGTCAGTTTTGAGAACATTTAGGGAGTGTCTGCTCCCAAAAACTATAATTAGGCTTTAAAGGTATGCCAGGGTAGACTGGGACCGACTGTCTAACTCAAGCCACAGAAATAGATATGCAGTCACAGA